CATAAGGTTGCTTGGATACACCTGATGGTATGCAGCTCTCAAGGATTCAAGGTTGAACTTAAGAGGCAATGTCTGTAAAAATCAAACATCCGGCGGCCAAGTTGAAAAAATCGATTTGGTTCATATTTGGTCCAAAGACGTGAAATACCACCTAAATAAACGTACTGATGTTTATTTTGAAAAATTTCACTTTTATTTTGAGAAAATCGAGAAAATCCATTTTGGCCGTCGGCGCCCTCTATTCAGCTTAAATTCGAGGTGAAAATGATAGGTCTGGAAAAAGCGCTCGCGTATAAAAATGAAGCAAACTAGAGAAGATCTGTTTTTGGAATATGGTAAAGGAAAGATTAATGATTATTTTAAGCTAAAATATGAATAGGGAAACGCGATCTAATAAGTCGTCAGGGACTATTTACAAACTACATTTTTCGGGTTTTCAGAAACTTTAATTTCACCCTTAGTTTGCAAAGCGCATTTTCATGTGCACCGGGTGTTCGGATTTATCTGAAATTCCAACCATGATACCTTCGAATGTTAAGCTAAATCATATGTAAAATTCAGCTTGGGTTATTAAATGAGCGCGATATACGAAACTCTCGAATTCGGATAAATTTGGCTTGTTAGGGGTTTGCATCCAATCATTCCAATGAAACCAGTTCGAGGCAGACAGAGCTAACCGGCCTATATTTTCAATATATTCAGTTCTGACATTTGATTTAATAATTTTATTTGTTGAATATTGAGTGCAATACATTGTATTTCTTTGCCTTTTTTCGACATTAGTACGTTTAAAATACTGTGAACCTTACTACCACTTCGAAACAAGCATGTAAACACATACGACGGCACGACTTATATGATAATTTACAAACGCCCAAATAACATGTAAATTAGTACTTTACGAGTTCTAAAAAATTGTTAGATTTATGTCAAAACSAAGGCTTAAAAAACCACAATATAACTGGGTGATCCGAACTAAAAGATAAATTGCTTAAATGTTTAAACCTAGTACTGAATTTCGGGGTTTTATAATTTCTGCTCGCCGTATACTGACCTGAGACAATGCGTATATTACCTTTAATCCAACTCACTTTTCAACACAGAATGACAAGTGTTCTACGGTTGGTTCCTTTCAGAGGTATTTGGAAATTGCCTAATTTCGCATCAAAGTATTTTCTTTAGACTAAGATTTCATTTTGAGGAAGCCCGAGATTAATTTTCACAGCCTTTTTCATTCTGCTTATGGACCTTCCAGACTTYGTCGTAATAATACTTGCTTCAGTATCGATAATGGCAATGCCGGAATGGCGTAAATGGAATCTCCAATCTCTTGAAAAATCCCGCTATCCGCGATTGGTTTCGCGTTTAAAATCCAAGAAATAAGATCACTGCAAGGGAGTGGGCAACCCAAAAATGTGACCAAATATAAAAATCGTACCTTTTTTCCTGCGGGTGAAAATGAATAAGTCTTATTTATCTAATTATTTGATAATTTTAGTTTTTTCTTTCGATATCAACAAGCTAATGTTTTGCACCTAGTCCTAGTGCCTTAATTGTACAAACCCCCCCCCCCCCCCCCTCTCTCTTCTGGTCAAGACTTCGATAAGCCACTATTGCACGCTTCAGTGTTCCTTTCCATTCCGTATAAGTAAAGCCGACCACTTCGTTAACAAAAACTAAACAAGTCACCCGACAATCTCAGTCATGCTCGTGTCAAACGTTCAAGACATTTGTTGTGAGGGTCACTGTCTGAACTACACAGTCAAGTTCACCGAAAAGAATATACTTAARCATGATTTAACGACCCATTCTGTTCAGTTCACATTTGTTTTGTTTTATCCGGAGAGCTGGAGAGGTTGTAGAAAATCTTGGAAGCGAGTTCAGTGGGGATCAAACACTTGGTAATTATGTTGAATATCTCTTTGCCTGTAAAGTCGACGATCTAAAGAATATATCCGCCTTTGCCATCAATTATTTTGAGCTGCAGGAGCAAAGGTTTACCATCGAGTCTAATCGATCAATGTATGGCTTCTTCAAAAAAAGCAGATTACCAATAGATGGATCAATGACATGTTCAATTTGATTGAGAAAAGTGTCACGGTCAGGATTGTGATTGGGCACATAAGCAGTAGTGATAGAAAATGACTTGTCACAAACTGTAAGGTCAACTTTCAGCAGGCGTCCATTAGGAAAAGAGTGAGTATTCTCCACATTACAAGAAAAGGAACGATTAATGAGGATAGCAACCCAAAGCAGAACGAGAAGAAAAGAAGGAACCATAAGCAAGAAAAGGAGAGTACTTAAACCAGAAATCCAGTTCTTGTTGAGAAGTGGAATGAGTTTCTTGGAGACAAATGTTGTCAAGGTTTAACGATAGAAGCCAGATGAAAAAAGATGCCCTTTTAACAGGATCACGGAGACCTTTAACATTTAAGGTGGCAATCCTCATTAGGAAAATAATTATACGACCAAACATTCAATAAGCTTTTTTAGCATTCCAAAATTGCAACAGTAGATTTAATAATTAATTTTCACTTTCAAGTTATACATTTGACAACGCATAAATTATTGCACACATACATAACTTAACATTCGATAGATTCTATTTCAATAACTGCAATAATAATTTTCAAAAGAATAAAAGACAAATAATAAATAACTTAAAAAGAAAGGTAATTAGGACTTCGTCTTATTAGATGTAGGGCGCAGATGAGGGTCAGCAGACTGCATCTTCAGAACAGTTGGTAGAATTTTTAACGAAGCAGGGATGTGAGATTTCGAAGGTCCCTTTTGCACAATATTACTAAAAGAAGGGGAAGGCAAATCAGTCCCTACTGACAAAGAAAAAAGATGAAGAAGAGCCTTGAAAATTAGAAACATGAGATTGAGGTTGAGACGGAGTCAGAGGAACATTCGCAAGAGAGTCTTGCGAATGGGTATGAGGGAATAGAGTTCTAGAATCAGAAACAGTGACAATGTTGGCATTGACAAGAGAATCCTTTGATTGAACATTAGGAAATAAGGATGCAGAAGCAGTATTAGGAGTGGGATCGTTAATTAAAGTCGTACTCTTGTTATCAGGTGTTTCCATAACAACCTGGGAGAAAAGAGATGGTGAATCTTGAAGCTCTTCCACATTTTCTTCTGTATTGTCTTCTATATTCTCTTGATCAGGAACCCCATTCATAATCTCACTATATGTCTCCGAAAGATTGCCAGTTGATCCAAAGAGTTCGCTTGGTGTAGGCTGGTGTTGAAAATGTGTTCCAGGATCTACATCAAAAGTCTGAATGGTAAGGTCGCGAGTTATCAAAAATTCAGGAGGATCCAGAAGAAAAGTGTTACAATCGTAAGAAGAATGACTTGGATCACCACAATTTCCGCAGGATCCAGAAAGAGGGTAGTTACGATTAGAATGACCCCACTAGTTACAATGAAAGCAGCAAAGAGTTTGTCCACGATAGTGAACTCTAGCAGTGTAAAGGTCCAGCAAAATTCTGGCAGGTATATGAGAATTAAGAATCATTAAAAGACGTCTATCCCCAGTTTCAAGACCATACTTATCCAAATTCCTAAGCACTTCTTTGACTTCCCCATATCTCTCAAATACACCTTTCAGAGTTTCATCAGTTAATTCGCAAGAAAGATTAGAGACAGTAACAACATGGCTTCATCCTCAGAGTTGGGTTTTTTGTGAAATTGGGGTAAATTGGTTAGGGTTAGTTTGGACTTGACTAGGGTTTGTGGAGAGTTAGGGTTAACTTCTTTCTAGGGTTTGTTTGTGCGAAGAACTTAGGGTTASACATAGAGCTAGGGTTGGGGTTGAAATCCAAGTTAGGGTTAAAATGCAAGCTAGGGTTTATGCAGACTTAGGGTTAACATTAGTAGCTAGGGTCGAGGAAAAGTTAGGGTTCATTTGGAGCTAGGGTTCAATTGAAGGTAGGGTTAGGCCCGAAACTGCGGAAAAAGGCACATACACACGCGGAAATACGCACACTTTTGCGGAAAAACGCACACGGATGCGGAAATACGCACACGGATGCGGAAATACGCACACGGATGCGGAAATACGCACATGGACGCGGAAATACGCACATAGATTTATTTCCGCAATTTGTGTGTAGAACCCTCTAATTAGTGGGGGTTACCTAATTAGTTAATTATATGGCAGTTTAGGTCATTTTGGCAATGTCTGGGGAGTTTGACACATAGGTCATAGGCACTTGAAAGGGTGTTTGTCCCACTTTGATAAGGTCTCATGGGAAGTCTTGTTGGATTCGAACCAACCTACCGAGAACGGTAGACCATTAGACTTTTTGGTTTCCTGAGACCAAATCAGTGTTTCCTTCCCTTTTTTCAATGTAAACTTATTTAATCCACAAAAGAATGGCAGGACCTACTACTTGTCCTTCTTCCACAGAGACCTTACGTTTTCTACGCAGCGGTCCTGCCATTCTTTTGTGGATTGCCTTCCCCAAATGGAAGGCACAGAGGATTTAAACTGCTCCCTTATCGCGAGCCTTGACGGGAGGCTAGACATATTAATCAAATGCCGTAGCTTTGTCTGTATCTTCAGGGTGTCCTCTGCTGACCATGGTTCCCTGCTCTTCTGTGGCCTGCAGGAAAAACGTACTGTCAGTATGGCAGCTGTAAATAATATATAAGCAGAAAAACACTTCTAACCTTCCCAGCGATGGGAAATTGTCCTCCCTTGTGTTGTCGCCGGAGGTGGAGGTGGAGGTGGTGGTGGCCGAGGTGGTGGTGGCTGTGGCCGAGGTGGTGGTGGCTGTGGAGACACATGGGGTGCTGCTCCTCTTCCTTTAAAACAATTCGGATATCAAATAGAAGAAATGAAAGATAGGCCACGTCTGGCTATGACAACTTACTTATTGGACATTGTCCTCTTTTCTTTAATGAGCTTTGCAGCCTTGGCAGCCATGTTTTTCCTCTCTCTTACGTTATAAAACCTGTCAGCCGTTCTAAAGCAACACAGGAGAAAAGTATGAGCATATGCTCCATCTGTCGTACATGAACTACGAATAACCATCAATGAATGCTTACCGTTTCCTGTGACACATCAGGACACTTAGTTCGTCGCGGTCCTTTTCTTCTACCGAACGGTCAGAGTAAAGTTCACTGACTATCCCCTTCCTGACATGAGTGGAGGAGATTGGCCGATTGATCACTCCTGTCGCTTGGACAAAACTGGTCAATCTCCTCCACACATTGGTCAGGCTGGGAGCGCCATTCACCATGAGAAACAAGTAGTCTTTTGACTGTGTGTTACAATGGAGTGGTCTGCGGATAATGCAGAGTAACAAACTATTAATGACTGTTAGAATACTACCCAATTCGATAATAATGCTTACCTAATTCCATTAATATACCCTTGGATGTGTTGCACGGTCACTATATATAAGAAAGCAAAAGCGGACCCATATGTGGAACAACTTATTACACTTTTCTTGGTATCAAATTGTTCCTCTTGCCGTTATGCATGACGTTTGATGGTTTGAAAATTGCAAAAGATTCAGTAGTAGGGAGCAAGAAATGAAAAACTGAGGTGTCAAAAAAGCATGTCTTACCTTTAAAACGTCTGGACAAAAGAGAAACAAGGGAAGGGGGTCACGAGATATAGACTTAGTGAAAAACAATGGAGATATTATACTTTTAATTTCTTTATTCCTCACAAACGTTTAAGTTAACCTCATAACATGTGCAAACGTGGTGTGGGGAATCACATGTTATTGGTGGCAGCGTGGGAACATCGTACGGCGCATGAGCAATACCGATATCTTAGTTCTACTAGAAGGATAATAGCTAGAAGGAGCCGGAGCACGGAGGTGATAGACCTCAGTGAGTAGATCACCTGCATGTGCTCAGCGCATAATTTCCTTAAATTGCCGCTGACCAGTGATTTTTCAAAGTTTGAAATTAGGCCGTTTTCAAAAAATTCTCACACGTTCGTGTAACAAGTTAGAGCTCTGATACTTTGTATCTTGAGAGAACCGCAGTAGAGCTTTAACATACTGAAAGCTTATTGGTTAAAGTCAAGGTCAAGGTCACGAAATTGGTGGCCGAATGTTGAAACTTTGACAACGTATAACTCCTTTGCATTACACTTAAATGATATGAAACTAACACAACTAGTAGACATTAACAAGGACAACATACATATGACGTCATAGCTCATTTGCATACATAATTAGGCATTTATAAATTTTTTTCTAAAAAACACTTAAAAATCCGTAAAAAATTCAGAATAAAAGATTCTTAAACTAAATTTCATGTGTGTATAGGTCTTATTGATACCTTTCAAGAGATGTGCTTGGTGTTTCGATAGAAGTTCATTAAAGGGCCGAAAACTGAAGTTATTTTTTTTGTTTTTGTTTTTTTTAAGGTAACTTGTGTACCTTATATCTATGAACCTTTAACTTAAATCAGAAAACGTTTCCTATGAAAAAGATAGCTATTATTATGTTCTACACAACAAAGGTACTTTGGTTCCCGTAAGACTAAAATCAAGGTAGTTAGACGCGTTTACGTCGTGTGCATTTTTGCGGAAATGTGATTTTCGACCGCTTCTGAAAAATCAGAGTTTTAATATTTTTCAAATCCGTAATGATGAAAAGAAAGGCCTCTTCGACACCAATCCATACACCAAAAAGCATTGGCATAGCACTTTAGGAAAGCTTTCAAAAATCGAAACCTAAATTTGCGGAAAAACGCACTTTCCAAAAAAAGGTTAAGTGAGCGTAACTCCCTCCGAATTTGACCAAACTCAGATTCCTTCACAGGATCATCCTATTTTCCCATGACACATGTGTACCAAGTTTGAGCTTAATCGGACTTAAAATAAAGAAGTTAGAAAATAAGGGTTTCTTAAAAAAATGAGTTTGTGTCACCGGTCACAGTTTCCTACACCGTAGTACCCATTTGCGGCCGATTGGATAATTACCCCTCAAAAATAGCCCCGGGTAATTTTAAATATATCTATCTTGTAGAGCTTGAAACGGGCTTTTTCCGTGGAACATGGCAGCAAGGAGATATCACGTGTGAAAGTCATGTGTTTTTTTTTCGCGAAATTTTCTTCAACAGCCCATAATTTTTTCAGATCACGTGGGTAAGACTTCAAACCAAGACCTTTATGTAGAGGGGGCAAAGACCTTTCCAGTGATACCAAGAACATCCACTTTTGACTTAAAACAAAAAAGCAGATTTTCGAGTGTGCATTCGTCCGCAGTTCCTGGTTAGGGGTAAAATCCAGGCTAGGGTTAGCATGCAGCTAGGGTTAGGGTTCAATCCAGGCTAGGGTTAGTACGCAGTTAGGGTTAAACATGGCCTAGGGTTTGAGCACCCTTAGGGTTCAGCATCTAGCTAGGACTTTGTACTGGTTGTTATGAACACAGTGGAAAGTACTACTATTACTGCTGTTGTTGTTATGTTTGAATTGTTCGGGGACTAGCGCGACTAACCCTGAGAGGACTGCCTTCATGATCACGGTATTTGTGCAGCTGGGCTAGGAGGCCCGGATTCACTTTATTACAAAAAATAAACAATTTTAATTATTTTACAAACTATACCTTGTGGGATGTGTTTTCGGCACTCGAGTGTGTGGGATCGGCTCGTGCTCTGATCCGAGAGAGCGCTTGCTGAGCTCAACTCTCGAGCGTTACAAATTCCTTTTTTTTTCTATTTACATAACGATGAATTAACTCAAATCAAGAGAGGCTCAGATTCAAGCTGCGAATAGCCCGTACAAACTCCCCGGCCCCAGCACTAAGCGGTTCCCTTCCGCAGCTAAGAGCCAGAACGCTCGCGCAGTCACTCGCCGCTCGAAGCCGGTCCGCTCTGAAAGCAATAAACAATAGATTTCAAATCCTTATGATCTAGGTAATTAAGGAGAGAGCTAGATCTCTCTATCTATTTATTGATGTTTACATTGTTATCGCCAACCTTTGGCCTTGGAAATGGCACAAGATGCCTTTAAAGGCCCAAAGGAAGTTGGTGCTCGAGCGGTTATGAGCAACTAAGATCTCGTGGTCGCGTCCAATGAAATATTTGACATTTCGTACAAAGTACGTGACGACATGATCAGGTTTCGATTCATCATCAAAAAAATATATATTTCTATATTTCCATAGCGAGTACTTGGCTATGGAAGTCAAATGGTAAAGAAGGAGACTGGCTTGGTCAGACTGAGGGGAGTTCGTGATTACGCCAACGTATGACAAAGGTTCACGAAACCCTAGTTGTCTCGCTAGCACAGTCACAAAGTTCCACAGTTTCCTAGCAACCGGACAGAGCCAAAACAGATGTTTAGTGTTCTCTACTGCTCTTCTATCGCACGAGCGACAGAAGGAGTCGGGAATCACTTGCCATTTAAATAATTTGACTGCTGTTATGAGACCTGAATGGATGATTTTCCAGTTCAGGTCAGCGATCTTGTTGTCAACTGTGTTGACATAAAGTTGTTTATAAAAATTCCTTATATCAATATTATTCCATTGCATGAGTGGAGACACATTATTCATTTTCATTATGGTAGTATAAAAAAATCTATTTGTCTGTTTTAGTAAGGTCTTGAAAATCGGAGATTGTGCATCTCGGAACCCATATTCTTGGTTCACGAGAGTCAAACCCGGATGAGTTGTCTCGATACGTCTCCGCCACGTGAGTGGAAGACTCCGCAGGACAGTAGATATTTCTTTGTCCAAGCGGTTGTCTTTCGGAGGGTCTCCAAACAATTCCTGGATCGCATCCCGCGGAAGAAAGCCGGCAATAAACTGATAACTGACGTCTTTTACGAATAAGATTTCATTTGTGATGCAGTGACCAAAATAGATTGACTTTCCGGTGGTCAGGTCTTTAATCAAAGGATTATCAAACAATGGCGCTTCAAGAATCTGGTCTATCGTCCATGAACCATATAGAGTACTCAAGTGTGACGTCACGTTGTCCCGGCGACGGATTTTTGCGTTCTAAACAAACCAAGATGGCGTATGACGGCCACAGTGCATGGGTCATTTTTCTTTGGTTTTACGCAAATAACTCTGTTTTTTAAACTTCTTACTATAAATAGTGTAAAGATATACTTCTAGGAATTGGCATTGTTCACTCACAATTAGGATAATTCGACATTTTGTTGTGTTTTTGAGCGTTTATATTACTGCAGAATTCTGCGGCTCACTCGAAGCCAAATCAAAATGGTTAACTGCTTCGTCCCAGACTGTAAACATCACTCAGAATCACATACCTGCACTTTCTTTACTTTCCCAAGCAAGAAGAAGAACTTGGAAGAACATAAGCGATGGATTCGCTTGATCAGGTATGAAACATGTCCTTTTTTTTTTTACCTCAACACTTGTTTACAGGATGCTAGCTCGACCACAACACCGAATCGATGGATTACTTTCCATATAGCAATACGGTTTATCGTATAAACACATTTCCTGATCGAGATTTTATTAACTAAGTATTTGTTATACATGTACTTACAATATTTTTTGTTTTTTGTTTTAATTCAAATAGGAGAGATGACAGACAACCAGGTGCACATTCACGTGTGTGTAGCTGCCACTTTAGAAATGGCCAGAAAAGCTTTGGTCCTGAAATATTCGAGAGAAATGCAGACAAGCTATTTCCCTGCCAAGATGGACCCCCAAGAAATAAAAAGAAGAAAAGTAGTCCATTAAAAGAAAACCAATTAAACATCCAGGAAATTTTGGAGGAATATCAGGAGCAGCAGAACAACAACAGTGCATCAGATACATGTGATACTAAAATATCAACAAATGAAGTGCTATTAGCAGCAGAATTGGACATGGTCAAAAGAGACTTAGAAGAAAAACAACAATATCTTAGTTATATGAGCACACACTACTCTGTGTCAAACTTAAGTACAGAAGTCATTAGGATGGAGACAGGCTTACCAACAGGGGAAGTGTTCAATATTGTAGTTAGTTATGCTGCTAGGTTTAAGGATTCTATAGCATATTTTTCTGGTTGGAAAGTTGATTCACTAAGTTTTGAAGACCAGATTTTCTTGACACTTATGAAATTACGTCAAAACTATACTAACCTCCATTTAGCCCAGCTTTTTTCCTGCAGTCATAGTACTATTTCTAATATTATCATAACATTTGTCCATGTTCTACATGAGCTACTCTTTAAAGACATAATGACAACCATTCCATCCAGAGACAAGAACAAGTTAAGCGCACCTTCTTCATTTTCACAATTTATAAGTTGCAGAATTGTTATTCACTGCACAGACATAGAATGTGCAGCCCCAGGTTTAATGAGTCAGCAAAGTTTGACATATTCAAGTTACAGGGGGATGAACTCTTTTAAAGTTTTAGTGGGCGTGGCCCCTAATGGAGTCATTACTTTTGTTAGTAATTGTTACCCTGGGTCCATTTCAGATAAGGAAATTGTCAAGCAATCAGGCTTAATTAACCACATGCAAACAGGTGACTTAATTCTGACAGACAAAGGCTTTTTAATTCAAGATTTAGTACCAAAAGGAATATATGTCAATATACCACCATTCTTAGAACATGGTAAATTCACAGAAAGTGAAATTAAAGTAACTAAGTCAATCGCAAGATGCAGGATTCATGTTGAGCGAGCAAATGCCAGGCTCAAGGATTTTAAGATATTAACATTTGTTCCACCATATCTCAGGTGTCATTCAGATAAGCTATTTCAACTCTGTGCTGCATTAGTAAACCTTCAGTTCCCATTAATTAAGGAAGGCTGCACAAACTTTGAATTTGAGTAATATATTTAATTTGATAACTATTAAGAACACCTTTAATTAAGTACCATGTTTCTAGCTATACTTATCCTACACATTACATAAACTTCAACTATAGGAAACTTATGAAAATTTACATGAACGAAAAATAGCAAAAAAATGAATATTCTTTCAGTTTAAATGATTTAGTCATGATCACATTTACATACATTTTTAAAAACTTAGATATCTAATACATAGATTTCTTAATACAAGGACTGAAAAACTACATAAACAACATGTAGTTATAGAGTGAAGGCATAAACCCAATGAAATAGATATCAGACCCACACACAACAGAAGCCTCAAAATTCCATGCATTTTTTCTTTTGCATTAGAATGAGATTTTTCCATTGGGTTTAGTGTGTTCACTCAAGTTCTAAAGTTCTCCCTCTAAGATTTTGGGAAAAATGTGAAAAAAATAAAAATCTACAAGAATATCAATATTGTTCAACCATGATGGATCCCTCTTGATATTGAGTATGGCAGTTTCTTTGGTTGTCCATACAACAAAATAACAAAATTCTCTCTGTGTTAAAAACATCTGCCCCTGTACTTGGTGCCAGTAAACATGGTCAGTCTTCAGCTCATACTTCCCATCATTATTCGTCTTCAAACAGAAACTATCATTGGTTACAGCTTCGGCTATCATGCAGTTTCTCTGGGTGTAGGGACATTTCACCTCAAGCACATGCTTTCTGCCCACCAGTCCATCAGGGGAGGCACCAAGTACCCCAGTCTTGTCCAGCCAAACCCCGGTTTCCTCAACAGGAAGTCCTGTCAAAGTTTTAAACGATTTTACTGCCTCGCTTTCATTGGTGACTCCCCAAAGAACAGCCTTCACTCTTGAGACATCATACTCTCCCAAGAGCCTTTTGATGAGGGATGGTGTTGCCCGTTTTGCATTCATAACACACCCAAAGTTACTAGCAGTAAGACGCCCTTTACGTACCAGGTGCCACAATGGGTTGTCCCTCTGACCCTGGCTACTTCTGGCTATTTCTCTAATTATTTCATCTGACACTTGCACTTTTTCCTGTACAAATGCTATCTGTTGCTGCTGCCCTTGGATATCAAGAAATTCTTCGGAATAGATGATTTCCTCAATAGTTGGAATGGGTAACATTCTTGGTGGGGCAGGCTCAGGTCTAAGTATCCAGCAAATACCAGTAAATTTGCCATAGCCACGAAGTTCTGAATATAAGTATCCTCGATCCTCCTTAGTTGGTGTTCTTCGCAAAGCAACATAATCTTTACTAGGTGGAAACATCTCTATGACTGACAGTGGACTCGTGTTGTCGGTCTTTTTCTTTCTCCAAGAGCATTCGACATCTGTTCGGCTTAGATTGTGTATGCCATGGATGAAGAGCGCTGCCGCATGACTACATTTGTATTCTCCTCTTGGGCATTCACACTGCGAGGATCTGATCTTATTATTCTCGTCGAGATAGATCTGGAATTATTATAAAAGTGGAAAAAGATCAAAAGGGTATAACATTACGAAATTATTAAGCATAAGTGGTTTCAATGACTATCGTGACGATCGATACTGTCAATTGAAAACACATGAAGTCTGATAAACAGCCGATTTTCCTCTAGCAAAAAATGTTTTTAAAGCTGATTTCCCTTTGTTGATCAATTGTTTGAAGTTTTCATAAAAGGTATGGCGATTGCTAATCCCAATGCTCATAGTTAAGCCGAGTTAAGYGGATAATAATTGTTGTTTTACACATAAAATATTGTGACAGTCTTACCGTGACTTTATACACTTTGTTCTTCATGCTTGCTTTGACTTCACCTCTTAAAACACCCTGATCATAACTAAAACTTTCTACATGTGCAGATTGGTAATGATTTTCACCTCTTGATATAGATTTCTGCTCTTCTACGAAGAAGGAACTTAACGATGCGATCGAGAGAGACGCCATCTTGGTTTGTTTAGAACGCAAAAATCCGTCGCCTAAGCAACGTGACGTCACGGCTTGAGTACTCTATTCTTGACGTGGTTTCGCGCCCAATACAATCCAGCTGATTAAAAGTTCCTTATAAAATGGAAGCATCGTCCGAAATCTATGTGGAAATAGATTGAGATCAAACATTCGAGCACCCAGATTCGTGCCGACGTATTTGCCAAGGAAATGAAAAGCCAAGTGTCTCCATTTAATTAGCAAGTCGTCGGACAGTAGTAATTTAATCCATTTTAGTTTAAGCGCTTGACTTTTTTTAACAAAGTCAATAACTCCCTGTCCGCCGAAGTTGACAGGAAGCCGACAATTATTTTTCTTAACTGGAAAGTTGTGAGAGCCCCAGAAAAATTGCCATAAGGCAGATTCTAGGGCTTTCACAACCCACAAAGGCATGACAAGATCTGAAGCAATGTACCACGAAGAAGATGCGGCAAGCTGATTAATCACACGGACTTTGCCGCGCAAGCTTAAAGTGCCTATCACCCTTCTGACAATATTCACAGTATTGATTCTCCGTGGGGTAAGATGTGGAAAAGCCCTAAAAAATTTCAGTTTGAGTGCGGCTCCTTGAAGTTATAAAGGTTTTTCTATGCCATATGCTAATGTTGTGACGTATGAGGAGTAATCATTTAATATACAAAACATTACTGGCACAGATAAATTAAATTTAAAATATGTCATTGTTTTGCCCATTGCTCTTATAGAAATTATTGCAAGCTATTTTTCACATAGAAGCCGGTGTTTCGAAATACAAGGAACAACAAATAACCATAAATGCCTCCTCATACGTCACTGCATTAGCATATGGCATGAAAAAATCTTCATAACTTCAAGAAGCTGCACTCAAACTATAAATGTTTTTTCAGGTTATTCGACATCTTACCCCATGTAGAATTAATACTGTAAATATTGTCAGAAGGGTGATAGACACTTTAAATCTCTCTTTAAATTTTCCAGGTCTGGAACGTCTTACAAAATTTGTCTACTTTATTAGACCAATTTTCTCGGTCTGTGTCGGAATTTCCGACCCACAGGCCGAGTACCTTGATTTTATCTGAAGTCCAAGTTACTAATAGGCATTAATAGGAACTTCAGAGTCAGGAGCGATTTGATTTCGCAATGAGCCGCTTAACAGACCTTCGTATTTTGATAAGTTTATGCGAGCGCCGGAAGCGCTTTCAAAAACATCCAAGAGATTAAAGCATTGTTTTACGGATGCCATATCTGAAAGCGTTGGAGTTGTGTCATCTCCACATTGCGAGATAACACTACTCGTGTTTGCTTTCGGTAATGAGATACCGCGAATGTTCGGATCGTTGCGAACCAAACAAGCAAATGTCTCAGCGATCAAAACATATAATAAAGCACTAAACTACGACCCTGTCTCACACTGCGGGTGAGAGAAAAGGGTGCAGAAATAAAACCATTCACTTTAACACAGCTTGAAATATCGGTGTAGATGGTTCGAATCCAATGAATAAAGGACGGGCCGATGCCAAAGGCTTCTAAACATTTAGATAAGTAGCTCCAATCAACCCTATCCAAGGCCTTCATTTGGTCGATTGACAGGAATATCGCCGGGATATTTTCGTCGTTGGAGTACTGTATTAAGTCCATTATCAACAACAGATTGTGGCCGATATTTCTACCTTTAATGCAACAACTTTGATCTACATTGATTATTTCACCAAGGACCTCTACTAGCCGTAGACTTAGAACCTTGGTGATAACCTTATAATCTAGGTTACACAGGCTAATCGGTCGCCAATTGGCGATGTGAAGCCTGTCTCCCTTCTTGAAAAGTGTTGAGATAAGAGCTATACGCTGAGACGGTGCGAGTGAACTCGTTTCGTAACAAGCATTAGCCATCTCTACAAGATCAGAACCTAATATATCCCAGAAATGTTGGTAAAACTCGGCAGGAAAGCCATCCGTACCAGGGGATTTATTCTTTGCGAATGCCTTTACTGCTTTAGTACATTCTGATGGGGGTAATTTACCCTCGCATATGTTTTTCGCATTTTCAGTGAGTGTGTGTTCTAAAAAAATTCAGAATTTCGTCTTTTGTGATCAGTCGGTTCGGCCGAGTATAAATTCTTGTAAAAATGTACATGTTCGTCAAGTATCTGGTAAATGTTATCTGTGACAGTTCCATCCTGTTTCTTGGTGGCTCTTATGAGGGTTTGATTTCCTCTAGATTTTTCGAGGTTTGCGAAATACGAATCATTTTGCCTCGAGTTTCAGTCATGTCAATGTCTCGTAGTTTAGCCTTCAAATCTTGAAAGCGTTTTACGTCCCCGTTGCTATTTCTTCTCTCAAGTTTCCTTAGTGTATTTCGTAATTGTTTTTGTAAGAGGCGCTTGTGCTGTTTGTTTGCTCTAGAGCGAGCACGTGAATGCGAAATACATGTTTCGGAGCTTGGATTTTCCCGAATCCCACCAATCCAGGAGGGATGGAAAATCCGTCTTTTTAGTTCTCCAATCGCTCCAGAAGATTCTGATTTTGTCATTAAAGGCTTGTTCAATTAACAGTGAAGTGTTTAATTTCCACGAACCCCGACCGCGAGGCACGTTTCCAAATGACAGGGTCACGTTTATCATGTTGTGATCCGGTGCCATTGGAAATGGCTGGATGCCGCCGGCGAGAACATGATTCTGTTTAGTGGTGTCTAAATAGAATCGATCAATTCGGCTTTTCGATCCGTTCGAGGAAAGTAAAGTAAAGCCTTTTGAATCTGGATGAAAAATTCTATAAATGTCTGATAATCCTAGTGACTTTGTTATGTCACGCAATTGTTTGTTTGTTGAATCGGAAAAATTTCTTACATAATCAGTATCAAGAGAGACATCAGTGATGCAGTTGAAATCACCGCCTATTATATTTACGCAGGAATCATCACCAGTATCCACATAGTCAGATAGTGAATCAAGAAACACACGTCTTCGATCAACGTTCGACCCTTCAGAGGGGGCATAAACATTGACCAGCTTCAAGAGCTGATCCATGAATACTGCTTGAACTTGAATAACTCTGCCGTCCTTGTCGGACTTTGTTTGCTTTATCTTAATGTCAAGAGAGCGGCGAAATAGTATAGCTACTCCCGCTTCCCTTTCAGAGAACATACTAAAATTATGCTTCCCTCCCCACTCCCTTCCCCACGAATCAATATCTAAATCAGTCCCATAAGTTTCTTGTAAATGAAATGTCTCCAATTAAATTATTCAGATCCATGAATACTGCTTGAACTTGAATAACTCTGCCGTCCTTGTCGGACTTTGTTTGCTTTATCTCAATGTCAAGAGAGCGGCGAAATAGTATAGCTACTCCCGCTTCCCTTTTAGAGAACATACTAAAATTATGCTTCCCTCCCCACTCCCTTCCCCACGAATCAATATCTAAATCAGTCCCATACGTTTCTTGTAAATAAAATGTCTCCAGTTAAATTATTCAGTGAATCAAAAATCGCGTGGCGCTTGATTGGGTCTCGCAAACCGCGAACATTTATGTTCGCGACGCGCAGATTGCTAGAATTATTTAGTTTAAATTAAAGAATGATAAATATTGGCTTACTTTGAGCTTTTTCTATCTTTTTTGAGCACCACTTTCGTTTTTGACGGCGAAGAAGGCGATAGAGTTCGCTTAACCGCCCTGGTTGTGGTAATGTCCATTGACTGCTCTTTATTCGCTGTTGCTGTATCAGTTACCGGTGTTACATTTGATTGTTGCTGTTCTTGTTCTTGAGCGGTTTCTTCTGTTTTTTCTGTGTTTTCTTCTTCGTTTTCCTTTTGGTTCTCGTTTTCCTTTTGGTTCTCGTTTTCATAGTCAGACTTCGACTCCGAGTCTGACGGATTTCCTTCGGAATCGGGTTCTGAATCCTCGTTGTTGTCGTCATCTTTCTCATCTTTAGCCTTGGCTTCTTGAGTTTCTTGCTCATTCTCGCGTGTTGGAATGGTCTTCCTCTTAGGGCATTCTCTGCTGTAGTGGGAAAACCCACCGCAGAACCCACAGGTTTGGATCTGGCCCTTATGCGAGACTCTAGCTCTGAAAGTCCCAATATTCAAGAACGATGGAATGGCATTGGCGACTTCCATAGCTACAATGCGCGAGCCAGTCTCGATGTTGGTTCCATCATACAGTTGCCGTTTCACTTCAATGATCCATCCATACTCTGCCATGGCGTTCGCTACGACTTCAGAAGCCATCTCCGTTGGTAGGTAGTGGACATACACGTAAGTTGTTCTATATCCAAGTGGACGCGGCTTGATTTTGGACCCATTGAGCTTAATGCCTTCGTGCAGAAGGGACACGACGATCGATTCGTTACGCAGAGTATTGTCCACATTATTTCCAGGCATGGTCTGGATGCATTTCACAGCATCTTTAGAGATGTTGTGGCATAATGCCTCGATAAACTGTGCCTTATCAGGCATGACCGCTAAAATTGAAGCGTACTGTTGTTCTCCGTTTCAGTTTACTCATCTCGCTGTTTCTTGGGTTGAGACCAGAAGATGCGATGGCACTATAACTCGCCATTTTGAATAGATATAATCTTATAATATAGAATTGCAATCGGGACAGGCACGGGGGTTCAAAATACTGTAAAAAAAGAGCTAGGTCTTCATGATCACAATGAACCTCCCGCGTCAGGTAAGTTTTTTTGTTTTTTACACGCGTACAGAAAGGGATTTCTGAAGCGTTAATACTGGAGGGTACTACTGGTACGCCAACTATGCTGGGGTCGTGAGCCCCACCTCCAAACCAACAAGACGGCATCACATTGACACAAAATACAACCAGCATGACTCATAGTGGAGACAACTGGCATTCCATGGTGCACAAAACCGATTGCACCCACAACTCATGCTGGGCAGGACTCATCAGCATGTCATGACRCCACCGTCAGAACTACTACAACGAGTGTTCCAAACTGCATGGCGTCGCAACTCAAACAGAAAGAATACATTCAATGCGCAGCGTCGCCAGTGGGCACCAGGCTCAGTGGGTATCCTTGAACTCAAAA